ATCTCTATCATATATATATATACACACATACATGTTGCCGTATATTTGCTTTTAAATCCTTACGCAGGGCACCCTACAGACGAATGGCTGGGTTGCCGTTAAGGAACTTAAATTAAGTCACTAGAATGAGGAAAGCTTTTTTCTCTTCATGCCAAATCCAAAGGGGTAAGCCTGATGAGGGCAAGCAAACAACCCACCGCAGAATTCGCAGAGCATGCCCCGACTCTCGCAGAACACCAAAGCGTTCTCATATTCATCTTCTCAAGAAAATTCCGCTACCTGCGGAAAGGTTCGTAGAATTCGTGGTCGGGTTTTGGCGCCTGCAGAGTTCGTAGAACCTGGCGCCCTTCCCCTGCAATCGGTTACCCCTTTGAATTTGCCCTCACTAAACCCTATACACCCATATTATGCTAACTTGAATTAGATTACATTCCTCAACGGCAACCCACATGTACCAGGGTTCTAAGGGGACCCCAGACAGGGAACCACAAGAATATAGTAGGAATATACTAGAAAATAAGGACCCTGGTAGGTATATTNNATATTCCCATTATATTCCTACTATAGTCTAAAAGGTCCTTAAACCATAAACCCTATAGGCTCCCATTAAAATCCTTTCACTTGGGCGAGGCGAGGGAGGAGTTGGCAGCTTTGGAGGATGCAGGTCAGGTGTCGCCCTCCAAGGTCCCCGGATGAGACGGTTTGAAGGTTTAGGGTTTAGGGATTCTAGTTTATAGGGTTTGGGGCTGAGAGTTTCGGGCTTAGGGTTTAGGGTTTGGGGCTGAGAGTTTAGGGCTTCGTGTTTAGGGCTTGGGGCTTTGGGTTTAGGGTTTGGGGCTTAGGGTTTAAGGTTTGAGTCGTAAGGATCAGGGCTCAAGGTTTAGGGTTGAAAGCTTAAGGTTTGGAGTTTGGGGCGTAGGGTTCAGAGTTTAAAGCTCAGACTTTAGGGTTGGGGGCTGAGGGTTTAGGGGGTTTAGGGTCCTAGGCATTGGTTCTCATATTGGCCTCTGCCTGCTTCGCAGGTCCTAATTATGGGCCCTCAATTCGCAGGTTTTCTCGCAGGGCATATAATAGGCATTCAAGTCCTGGGTTAAGGGTCGATATTACCCAGGGAGCCCAATACCCTTTTATCAACAAATACGAATACCTGAAAGCATAAAAGGGACCCTAGTACGTACGATGTAAGGTATATTTCTTAACTGAGGGGTATCGCGCTCTCTGGGTAGGGGCCCATGTTTCTAACCACAGGGTTGAGGTTGAATTTCAAAGCTTAAGTGCGATAAGCTGCCTTGCTGTTAAGGAAGTTAACTTACAGTTAAAAAGAAACCGTACCTATTTACTGGCTGTCTACATCATGTAACTGATAGTTTATCTTTCTTATCATTAATTGAGTAAGGATCCAAAGCACCAAGACAAGACTAGTAGTACGTTGGCTATAGTCAGGGACAATATGGGAGGTCCGCTTTTAGCTCCTTCAGAGGGTCTGGGAAGGAGTTGGGCTTTCGAGTGTAGGGATGTCCCTAAACCCTAAAGCCCGAACCCTAAACCCTAAACCCATGTAGATGGGCTTAAGTTTATGATTTAGGGTTTGCAGTGCTCATGAAGTCACGGGCTTTAGGGTTGGCTTCGTATTGGCTAGTATGTAGGGTTTGGGGATTAAGGTAGGCTAGGGCTTAGGAGGGGTGAGGCTTAAGGCTGCATGACGTCTTGGGTTTAAGAGAAATGGGGATTACCAGAAATAGGGGTAGGCCCCTCATGCTCCCAATATATACCGTGGTAGTCCTTCTTGTGTGACTCCCGTTTAGGGTTTAGGGTTTAGGGTTTTAATTTTGTGGAAGCCCACACATTGAGGGAAGGACAAGACCCTAAACCCAAATCGTGTGGTCACAAAAGAGCCTTCTGGAGTGCTTGTTGTCCATAACGCGGTTAAGGTTTAGGGTTTAGGGTTGTGTTCCTTCTGAGACGGTTATACCGGGGGTTGGATGTGTCTAAGCCTTTTGTATTTGGACCGGAGTCAGATGTGTTTTTTTTTTTGTAATGTCAGATGGCAGTTCCCAAAATAGGAGGACCCCAGTATAGACCCAAAAATTCTACAATCCTTATTATGGGGGCCCCCAGAAAGGTAGCTCTAATTTTGGCAGACCCTCCAAACGAAATGGTTTGGAAGGCTGGGAGTTGGGTCTAAAGGGTTTAGGCGTTTGGGTTTGGGCTGGGAGTTCAAGGCCCTTGTGAGGTTATAGTCCCCCTTAGGTAGATAGAATATGGCGTATATGGGGATCTGATTATAATATACCCAAAGCCATGTTCTATCTACTTCAGGGGGACGATAGGATCTTGGATAGAGGAGTGGGTCGAGTTTAGGGTTTAGGGTCTGGGTCTGTGCTTGGGCGTAAACCCTACAGGATGGTGCCCAGCATTTTGCCCTGCAAACCCTAAGTTTTTGGGGCCGTGGAAGCGAACGCCTGAAGCCTGAACCCCTGTTACTCCCCCAAACGGTCTGAACATCCAGCCCCACAGGTAGGCAGACGTTTTGGGGTGCATTGTCCAGGAAATTCCCTATATGCCTTATCGCGAAACCTCAAACCCACAAGTCCCAGACTAAGCAACAAACACAAATTCTGGGAGCCCTGAGAACAGTGTGACAGGACCCCTGCAATGTGGGTGCACGCTCTGTGTGGCTCCATTTTGAGAGTCCAGACGCCAGGTCTCACTGTTCAGGTGTTAGGGATCAAGGTTTAATTTGGGATATTACCTTCATAGCGGAGAACCAAATGCAAAAGAACATGGACAATGAAATGAAAAGTGGGGTCTCTACAGGGGTGCTGTTGGTCAGATCTTGAATGGTTTGCCTATCCGTCACTCCAAAGACTTAAGGTTGCAAACCCTTAGCCATAAACCCTCAATGGAAACCCTAAGATCATAGCCTCAATACTCTATTTGGTTCAAGATGCATCTTGCTTAGGCACTAGTACCCTTCGGAGTCGAGATTACATCTGAAACAAACTCTCAGGATCCAAGGACCCACACAATAGGGCGCAAATACTACCATATTAATGAAAATTGGGCCCTAGAACCCTATTATTTGGGTCCTTGACCAATAGGGAAAGTTGAGGAAGAGACGCGACAAACTCCACCTGCGCTTCGGGCACTCTGCGAGCAGCTTTTAGGACTACCACATGCGCTGCTACGAGCTGCTGAGTCCTGCAGCCCAAACGAAGTTGCTGAGATGCTTAGACTCAAACCCTAACTAACTAAACACTGTAAGGTCTTTTTTGGGGAAGGTTTCGTGTTCAATTTTTGAGTTCTCGGGGTTACTTCGGGGCTTGCTTCGTAGGGTCAGGTTGTGCTCTGTGAGCCGGTCGCTCAGACAGAAGCCTGCTGCGAAAGCTGTGCTTCCGGAGCTTACTGAGAAGGTCATGTCATTACTTAAGAACAGTAAAAAGAAGGATAACAATCATGATACTGATATAATAGTACAAATACAAGTGCAATAGCAGTAATAGGGGGGCCTCAGGCCATAATCCTTAATTTCACTAGTGGTCCCCCCACACTTTAGTAGTGGTATAGGAATATAAGAAGTCCACTTATGGTCACTATCACTGGGTGGGGGGTCCATCTCACCTAAACCTAAGCCCTAAACCCTAAATGGTAGCTTCCATTTTCTTTTCCATTATCCCAATACATCCCTATATAAACCCTGTATACCCCCTATATAAACCCTATATAACCCCTGTATACATTGCTATGGGGATCACGTGCAACGTGCGTTGCGGCACTACCCAGGCTGTGGTCGCTCCAAGGCTGCGCGTGCATCCCCACATTATGGCGGCTACCTACCGGCGTGGGGCGGAGTACCACTGCCACAAGGACAATAAACCCTAAACCCCAAACCCTGTAGTAGTTTCCATTTTCTTTTCCATTATCCCTATGCAGCCCCAATATACTAATGGAGACTCAGATGGCCAAGAGCATTGAAAATGATATGGAAACATGGTTTACGCAAGGGCTTCGGACCCTGGACCCTGAACCGCGGGGTCGAAGCAGGGAAGTTTTTTTTCTGGTAGTAGTAATAATAGCAAGAAGAAGAACAATGGACAAGAAAATGGAAATTACTATAGTATATTCGATGTGTGAAATGTTAGGGCCTGACTCACCAGAAGCTGCATGCACTTCAATCTGGGCTTTTCTCCCGAAAAGGGCCCTGGGGACCACAGAGGTACAGGAATTGCAAAGGGATTTCGGTGATTAATGGGGGAAGTATAGTTCTTTTGGGGAGAAATGCCCATATCGATGCTAGGACAGCTACAGCGGCACGGACAACCAGCGCATGGTGACTGTCCTCCTGTACCTGAACGATGACTGGCGCCCAGGCGATGGCGGTGAGCTGCGGGTCTATGGTCACAAGATCGACGAGGAGGGTTTAGGGTTTAGGGTTTAGATCACAGATTTCTGATCTAAGTCCCAGTTCTCCAATGGCGCAGCCGCATGTACATTGCTTAAGAGGATCATAATTCTCAACTTGGCATGATATGGGGCGTTCCTAAAATTAGGGTACCTTTTTGGGATCCACATAATCATAATAAGGATTCTAGTATTTGGGGTTTATATTGGGGTCCCCCTATTTATGGAAACTCCCATATGTTCAGGGGCTGCTTACCAAGGGGTATTTCAGAGGCTGCGGGGAAGGATTAATTCCTTTACCAGGCATCAAGGAGAGGCTGCATCAAAAATCTCGATGCGAGGATGCCGCCCAGGCGCCGGAAGGTCTGCGAAGGGAAGCTGCAAGTACGCCTGACATGGACCGACCCTGGGTGCATGATGCAGAATTCAGGGACGTTGGATCAACATCAGGGTACCCCTTGGACACCAGGAACATCAAGTAGGGATGTTTGGGGGATAAAGGTCGCTTCCTGTCCTACTGCTCATTGATTCTTCTGAAATCCTCCTGGCTGGCGCACCCAAACCATTGAACCGAACTGGATCTAGGTTTCCTCAAAAGGTTCGCAGGTCTTGTGCTTTCTTCTGGCTTTTACCTTTCCGCCATATGCAGAGAGCTTGATACATTTTGAGTGAAGGAATATTCTTGCAACCAAATCTGATGTTTTCCCCTTTCAGGCGAGCAAGGTACACCCCTCAACGAGGGGACCAAAGGCGATCTGGCCAGAAGGAATCAGATCTTTTTGGCGTGTAGTATCTTCTAAGCTTGTTGAAGCAAAGCAAGAAGTGTGCCAGTGACAGTGAGGTTTCATCATGCCAAGGTGCTCCAAGTGTGAGCCCCGCTACAATGAAATCTTATCTTATCTTGATCCCAATCCCTGCCCCGGCTTTGATCCCTAAATCCCGATCTGAACCTAAAAGCTGAAGTCTCTACCAGCCCAGGATTTGTTGACATCGCTCCCTTGAACGGGCGGATTGTCATGTTTCGCTCCAGGGACGTCTGGCACGCGGTTCGGGAGCCCAGGGAACAGCGCTGGGCCATGACTCTTTGGGTCATGGCCGACTAACCTGAACTTCCTGCAGGCGCTAATCGTGCATTAGCAGAGTCCTTCTTTGAGTAGAGGTGTTACTTTTCCAATGGTATTTGTTCCTGGGAGGGTGATGAATTAGGACGGGCATCTTGCTTGCGCACGGCTTTTATGTGGCTGCTGGCTTGCAAGCTCAGGCAGATCTGTGGCGGCTTCCTCGGTCATTTGTTCCAAGATGTTTCCTGGAGCGTTACGCAAGAGCAGGAGGGAAAAAGGTCTATGCCCGCTGCAGTCAGGAGGTCTCAAAACCTTCCATTGCCGTTGAAATGTGCAACCTGGCCATCCTTTTTACTGTGGCTTGAGAGCTGCAACTTGCTATTTTGGTGGTTGCTACTCTGAAGCAGAGTTGTTCCACAGGGGTCCCTGAAAAGGCAGTAAGTCTGGCTGTGGTGCCGAGGGTTCAGCTGTTGTCCTTCGGCCAAGGGCTTGTAGAATCGTACGCAGATCCATCACCTTTCACACCCCAAGCGGTAAATCCCCTTATGTCTTGTGAGGGCAGCCTCGCAGCAAGGGTTGGCAAAACGATAAGGATCGAACCTCATGAGTTCATTGCAGTGTAGGATTGACAGCTTGCACAGAACGCTCACATAGCCATGCTATGCTATAAACTAAACTTCACCCTCCAGCTTCCAGCCCTCGTATCTCTCTTCTAGCCTTTTTAGGCTTCCGTGTGATTCGGGTCACTTGGAGCTCCCTGACAGCTGCAGGCCATTCTGAATCCCGTGCGTTCTGAGGTGTAAACTCTAATCGCCAAAGCACCTGGCTAGTTTGCTTGATGGTTAAGGCTTAGGGTTTAGGGTTAAGGCTTAGGGTTTAGGGTTTAGGCTTTAGGGTTTAGGCTTTAGGAACAGGGACTTGGGAAAAGAGTGTAGGTTTCAGAGCTTGGGCATTTGCGTAAGGGAATCTGGATTTAAGGGCTTTCTGGCCTGCGATTTTTTCAGCCATGGCTTAGGTACAACCATCTTCATCTAACCTGCAGTACCCAAGAAAAGCAGAATGCCCAAGAATGCAAGAATGAGACTCCCCGGATGTGCTGAGGCCATAGCCGCCAAGACCTCAGAAAGCACAGACACCGGGTTGGGGTGCCATGAGGAAGTCCTAACATGCTATTGCTTGCTATCAAGGAAACCCTTAACCCCAGGACCTTTGGTTATGAGAAGCCTCAAATAAGTGCGTGGTAGGGAGCCCTAAGTCCCATACAGCTATCGGAGACGCCAAGCCTGGCAATGATTGCTTATCTTTTTCTGAGCTAAGACCAAACCTCCAAGGGGAGCCTGCATTGACTTAAACCGTCCCCTCAAGCATGGGCTGCAAAAAATGGTATGTCATGTGGATATGGGGAAGGTCCAGGGTGGTAATTCCATTGCAAGTTACTTTTAACCCAGGTTGTGACCTAAGGGCCCCACCCTGTACATGGAAGCAATTCAAATTGTAATTTTGGGAAAGCGGTCGGCTTGCACCTCCGAAGAGCCGGACATTGCGTAGCTGAAGCTCGTCAAGAAGCTTTATTTGGGCATCCTTGTGCAGAAGCCCTGCACCCTAAAACTGAAATGCTAAAGCAATAACGTGAGGCCCCAGCCCATGCAGTGGGATAGAGAGGGAGTGCTTAGAGACTCATATCCTAAGCTTGCACTAGGGATCGGAAGGATCCTGGTCAAAGGTTTGGGGGTTGGATCCTGTCCCCCCCAGATGCTTGTATGATAATCGTGTCAAGGCATTGCTATTGCCCCAACTGTTCGTGGTTTGGGGGGTGTCACCCAACTTCCGGGAGCTTTTGCTTTGCTTGGCCTTCTACCGCAGTGGTCGCGTGAAGCACTAGACACCAGCCCGCACAACAAACCCCGCGCCAGACTTCTTGCCTGATCTTTGACAACTACGAAGGAAAAGCAGACTACCGTCTTTGAACCGTGGACCCTGAACATTGGATGCTATAACAAATAAAGCCTTCAACCGCAGGCATCAGTTGACACCCTAGTCCCGTCCTGTCTGTGAGGTGTTGCTGCTTGGCCCGGGCCGGGCAGCGCTGGGGCTTTTGCGAAGGCCCCGAGTCCTGAGGATGTAGAGACGTTGAGCGGACGGGTCATGATTTATGTGTCCCCAACCCTTTCAATCTTCGTGGCGGGCGTAAGCCAGGGTTGGCTGCTAGCATTAGATGGTCCCCAGCTCCAAGACTTCGAGATCACAGGGTTCAAGCTGCCTAGTTTCTTCAGGAGGGCCTAGGCCTAGACCCTAAACCTAAACTCCCTAAACCCTAAACTGTGTTGACGATTTCTGCAATCACCGCTTCCTATCGGTACCCAACGCGGTCGTTTCAGCTCAAGCTGAGCCAAATGGCAGCCGTCAGCTACTTACAGCATTGTGCCCCCCGAGTTACGTACCCACGCTCATGAACCCCCGTAACTGAGGTATAAAAAGGACGTTTAGGCAATATTTATCCCATTTGGAAATGACATGAACAACCAAATTTATTACTTAGGTGCAGTCTCTCTCTCCCAGGCTTTAGTACAGAAGTGCCACAGCCAAGCAGCTTATGTAGCCTCTCCCCTCGCAGAGCTTCCCAGCAGGAAGTTTAAATTTCGAACCCTATAAGTCCGCAACCCGAACCACACCCCCAAGCCTAAATCCTCAAACCCCAAGCCATAAATTCTCAAAACTAAGCTGTGTGGCCCCGAGCCTGTTCTCCGGGGCAGAAGCGCCATGGCATTGATCCTGGCACGCCATGGCGAGCGTCAGGATTATGTTGCTCGGTTGCTTTTGAGGAGCGTCAAGCAGTGGGTACCCTTCTGGGTATCCCAGCTAGCTCCCTTTCCCTTTTGGGGGGTCCCTAGATGGTTTGAGGTCATACAAAAAGGGGCCTGGCGAATGGATGCAAGTTTTAGTTACCATGATGGCAAATCGAAAGAAAAACGCAGAGTGAAACGGAGGCTGGGGCTTTGGGAGGGCTATATAGGGATGTAAAAAATAGGGTTTAGGGTTTAGGGTTTATGGGGGGTTCTCTGGAAAGAGGGCTACAGGAATTAAACAGGCTTCAGGGCTAAGCTACCCTAAAGCAGAAGCACATGGACTGTGACATGAAAACTGATAGTGTTGGGTCTAGGCTTGAGGGGAGTTTACAGTCTAGGGTTTGGGTTTATATTAAGTGCTACCGGTAACGAAGTTTTATTGAGTTATTACACGATGGATGTATAGCAAACTAGTACTGTACACAATTGGGTTTTCTGCTTATGGTAACCTAATTCACGTGGGTTCCTTAGATCCTTATAAAAGCCCCATGTAAACCTCAGCTTTCATTTTATCGGCCAACCGATTTTCCATGCTGTCCCCAACCAGAAGCCATAAGCCCAATATAACCCCACTGCAATGAACCCCTATGGAAACCCCTATATTATCCCTAACCCTTACTGTAACCTATGTCTTTAGTTTAAGTTACTGGAAAGTCCATCCAGGTTGACCCTGGATGGCTGCCTTCACATCTCGAGGCTCGAGAACTTTAGACAATTCTTCCGGTCCAGCATGATGGAATAGAGAATGATTTAGTAAGGGAGTAGGGTCGACAAATTAGGGTTTACAGCGTAGGATGCGTAGGGCTTTGGTAGTGAGATTTAGCGTAAGGTTCGTCGAGAGGCTAGCGTTCTTTCCACGCGCCCTTAAAGGTGTCAAGCTTGTGCTGTGCAACCGAAGCAGTGGGTCTTCACTTGGGGTTTTTCACATGTACATGAACTGCTCACTGGATAGCCAAGTGAGGACCTAAACCCTGAAGCTAACAAAGCCCCCAAACTAACACACTAAGCCTAAAGCTCTAGACCGCGAATCTTAACCCCAGACCTGAAGCTCTAAATTCACCTGGACTCTTGACCTTTCTCAGTTCAGGAATATACCTCAAGCCCTACAACAGATCCTAAAGCCATTTGCGCTTTGCTACCTGGCCCTGGCTTCACATCAGAGTGGATCTCCGTAATGGAGAATCAAATGGGAAAGACAGGGAACATGCCACCGGAACTGGCTTTAAATTGTGCTTCACGGGTTATTCTCAAAACTATGGGCCCCTTTTGGTTGTGGATTATAGTGCAGCGCCTACTATTTAGAGGTACCAGAATGGGACCCTTATTTTGGGAACTACACATATGTTGTTGGAGTTCTGGAGGGAGTGAAGGAGTGGATTCTATTGGCATTCCCGCCCTCACTCCGGGTAGAGCACCTGCGACTTCGTGCACGGATGGGTTTAGGGTCTTCCCCAAACGAACGTAAGGGGACTGTACAAAGACATAAAGATACGCTTAGCTGGCCTTTTTCTGTTTTGCATTGTTGTTTGGATGCTGGCGCCTGCCCACACAATTCTGCAAACGGCTGTGCCAAGGGCTACTTCTATGTAGTTCCTCTTGGGTTTGTTGTGGTTCTTTGGTCAAGGGTTATGTAGACATATAGCCCCGAATGGGGCCCTTAGTAAGTTTAGTTGCCCGAGGCTGTGCAAGATTGCCTTTTGGCCAGGAGCGGCCCTGGGACCCTCCTCTCAGTGTTCCGGGCCATGAGCAGGCGGCCCGCTTTGCCAAGGCAAATGGGAATGGTGATGTATTACTATTACTATTGCTATTACTATTACTAATACTATTAGTATTCCTCCTACTACTACTACTGCTGCTACTACTACTACTACTACCACCACCTTCTATTGCTATTATCATTACTATGCCCTTTTGGCAGGTCTTTTTTGTTTTCTGTTCTTGAGGGGTGTGCCTTCGGGGTTTAGGCTTGGGGTCCCAGTCCGTAGTCCGCACTGTTCTGTATTTAGGGAAATCGTTGCAGGGACTGCTTAGGGGCTGCGAAGGCTTGTATCACTGTCTCGGACACTTAAGAAAATCAGGCTGCTGCTCAAGCTGGGTTATTGTTGCTCAGGCTTGGCTAATTGTGGTTGCAGTTTTTATTCCAGACCTATTTCTGTGAGGAACTGGTTCTTGCGCCAACGGCGCTTGTGGACAACA